GGGGCCTCCCTGAGCGGGGCTCGGCGAGGGCCTGCTGCTCGCTCCCCCCTGGGCTCCTCCCTGTAGCCCCCTCGGCTCCGACTCCTGCCAGGTTGCCCATGGAGCTCGGTGCACTGAGTTCCCCTACCGAAATGGGAAAGGGCCAGACCACGTGGGCCCCACTCACCAGTCAGGCTTCCGAGGCGCGAGGTTGGCCAGGTCCTGGGACAGGAGGAGGCACACATGACGAGTGGTTACAGAGGCGGGGAGACAGGAGGGGAGAAGGCTTGCTGGAGATGGGAAGGGGCTGAGGGAGCGCGGGGAAGGGAGAAGGCCCACAGGCCGCAGGTGGACAGGAGGTGGAAGGGGCCGAGTGAGCCGCAGGGAAGGGAGAAGGCCGACAGACCGCAGGTGGACCGGCCCCAGCTCTCACCACTTCCTCGATCACCGGCTCAGGCTTGGCGGCCTCCAGCTGCTCCTTCACCTTCTCTTCCACTAGAGGGCGCAAGACAACAGCGGAGGCCAGTGGGACAGTGGCCAGGGCTGCAGACGCTCCAGGGGTGGGAGGGTGGCCACAGGTTGAAAGACACGATGCCAGCAGGAAGACCACCACCAGCTGGAGCCGACAGCCTAGGCCAGCGTCAGGAAGCAGATGCGCATCTCAGCCTGTCTCCCACCCTCTGCACAGGACAAGTGTGGCTTTGGGGAGGCCCTGAGGCCTGGCTGGTCCTGCGGGCCTGGCCTGAGCCATCTCAGCTATGTGCTCCCGAGAAGGGGAGTCTTGCCCTGGGCATAGACCTCAGGAGCACTACCATCCCTGCCCCCGGCCCCATCCTGCCTCACCCCCTCCAGAGGCAGAAAGCTGGGGTCTGAGCCCACAGGGGCTGTTGTTCAGCCCTCTCCTGGCCCCGTACTGCCACACCAGCCGCTGCCAAACCATGAGAACTGCCCGGAGGTGTGGATTTGGGGGTGGAGGAGGCGGGATGCACACTGGGGACAGTGAGAAGATGAACCACTACAATTGGCAGTCAATGAGATGACACCAAGGCCGTCTGCAGGCCCAGGGTGGGGACAGAGACTGACGTGGACCTGAGGCGTGGTGTGGACTGGCTGCAGCGTGGATCGGCTGCGGTGTCCCCAGCATCACCACAGCCTCAGGGGACCCCTCCCACCCTGTGCCACCCCCAATGCTGCGGGTGCCAGGCCCTGGTCAGCGTCTCTCACTCAACCTACCCAGAGCATGTGCGTCCTCCTGCCTGCACATCCCTCTTGCCCAAGGGCCCCAGCGTCACTTCCACTCCTCAGCCCTCGCAGGTCCTCGGGAGGCCCCACCTCAAGGTGTGGGCAGGGCGTGGTGCCAGGGCCTCTCTGCTGCCCCCAGTACCACCTGCGTATTTGCAGGAGATGGTGCCGTGCGTCCTGGAGGCCCACCGTGTGCTCTGGGCCTGGGGTTCTTCTCTAAGAGGGCACTGACAGCGCCAGGGGCAGAGGTGCAGGGCATGCGCCTACCTGCCACTGGTTTGGCCTGGGGCACCCGCCTCCTCTTCAGGTCTTCATCCTCCGGGACATAGTTCCGCAGCCTGAGCTCCCTGGGAGAGGACCAGCGGGGATGAAGTGCCGGGTCTCAGCTGGCACTGGGCTCATCCCCCAGCTTCTCCATCTGACAGTCCGGGGGGCTGCACGGTCACCGCGGGCTCACAGTGCTGCTACACATCCGACCCCAAGGCGAGGATGACCCTGCCAGGGCCACAGCTCCTCCTGCCTGGCCCATCTCAGAGCTTTTGTGTCCTGGGCCAACAGGCCTCAGCCACTAGAGAGGGCCCATGTGTGCCAGGTCAGGGTCGTGTGGCAGTGAGTGAGGGACAGCACGCAGACAGGATGCAAGGCCCAAGGGACTTCAGGGCACGGCTGCCTGCAGTCATGGGAATGTGGCAGGCCTCCGGGAGGAGGTGGCATCCCGGCCTGAAGCTGTGGCAGACAAGGCTAAGAAGCAGAACACACAGGGCTAGCTCCCTCCAGGAAGCTGGGAGTGACTGAGGGAAGCTGGAGTGGCCGTGAGGCCTGGGGGTGGGCGTGATGCCGGGCCCGGCAGTCCACGGTCCACCTGGCTAGCATGACAACCCCGCCTCCTGCGAGTTCCGAAATGTCACCGAGGCAGGGAGGAGCCACAAGGCCCAGGCCCAGTGGACTGACTGCAGCCGGCTCACAGGGCTCCCCTGGCTGAGCGGGTGAGACCCCAGCTCCCACAGAGAGGCCTGCCTTGGGACGGCCACAGAGCAGCAAGGCCCGGGTTCCGGGGGCTGCCGGGCCAAGCAAAGGCAGGACAGTGACACCGGGACAGACATCTCAGCCCTGAGGTGTGGCAGGGTCATTGCCAGTCACTGAGACTGGAGTGGCTGCTCCCCACTTCCCGACCACTGCCCCTCCATCCTTTGCCCACCGAGCTTCTGGGCTGGGCCAGTGGAGCTGACTCCCACAGTCCCGGGGGAGAGGCGCTCTCCAGGAGCCTGGCAGCCAGGGCTGGCCACGGTGGCAGGTGGCAGTGCTCAGGGCTGGGGCACTCAGGTGCCAAATCCTGTCCTCACCAGGAGCTCGCGCTTGGCAGTCTTCAGCCAAGGGGAGCAAGGGGGTGCCTGGCTGCCCACCCTCCGCTGGGACTGCAGTCTGGCCCCTGCCCCTGCTCGGACACCCTTCCTTCCCTGCTGCCAGGGCCAGGCAGGGGAGTCTGGCCTGCCCTTCCTCTACGGAGCAGGGACACTCACCTGCCTGCTCCCTCCCTGGCGCCTGCCTGGGGCCACAGGCTCAGGAGAGAGAGTGGGTGATCTGGCCCAGGACTGAGGAGGAGAGAGAGGGGCGGATCTGGCCCAGGACTGAGGAGGAGAGAGAGTGGGGTGATCTGGCCCAGGACTGAGGAGGAGAGAGAGTGGGGCGGATCTGGCCCAGGACTGATGACTTTCGTTCATGCAGGGTGGGGAGGAAAGAGGAAGAGAACCTGGGTGTGGGGAGAAAACCGCGGGTTAGTGAGAGCACCGCCTCTCAGACACCGGGACAGGGAGGCGAGCCTGGTGGAGCCTACCCTGCCTGGAGCTGAGCACGGTGGTGGTCAAGGACACCAGGTCGGCTGTTTCCACACCCCTACGAAGCGGGGTCCAGGCCCTCCGACTCACTGCGGGCAGGCATCATGAAGAGACGCCCCCACCCTGCCAGGCCAGGACTCCCTGGGAGGGGTTGCTGAGCAGTGGGGCAGCTGGAGGCCCAGCCTTCCAATGGAGGCCCAACACGTACCCCGGCTACGTAGCAAAACTGGCAACAGACAGATTTTTCAATCTATTCACCGGCCTTGGAGAAGCGCCTAGACAACCGGCCTTCAGGGGCGGCATGCACATGGGAGTGCGGCCCGTCTGAGCAAGCCTGCACCAGGCACCCCGGCCCGGGAGCCTTGGTCTGGTCACAGGCGGAGGCTGGAGCGCCAGCATGGGTGAGCTTCCCGCTGTCTCACGGGCCCTGGCAGGCTCCCCGGTCTCTGCTGTGACCTGCCTCGTGACCCCACCCCGAGTGCAGCGAGCCCGGCTGGACCCTCGCCAAGGCAGAAGTACAGCTGTGGACGAGCATGGCCACTGACCCGCGTGGCCTCTGGGAGGGGCACTATGACAGCACAGGTGGCAGGAAGACACTTCGCCGGTCCCCAGAAGGCAGGTACCACCAGCCAGCTGCCTGGCAGGAGGGAGACCGGCTCCTTCCTAGAGGAAAATAAGGGGTGCACAGCCTCGCAACGCCTCTAGAACTTCCATATGCGGCATCCGGCATTCGTCAAAACCGTGAGAAAAAACAGAAATGTCCTCACAGGAGCCCTAGATACTGACATGGTCAGAGATGAAATTCACCAAAGTTCAGGAAAGCAGGTCACGAGAGAGAGAGTACTAGCAGAGAACCGGAAACTGTAGAAATTAATCAAATGGAAATCTCTAACTGAAAAACATGACCGGAAGTGCGTGCCCGCTGACTGGGCTTGGCCGTTTGGAAGCAGCTGAAGAGAAGATGGGGACACTGCAACGCATGCCGGCAAGTGTCCAGACTGAGGCGAGAGGAGCCAAGTCGGAAAACACAGGGAAGGCTTGAGCAAATGGATTCTCACGTGGCTGACTGCGGTTCGAGTCTCGGATCTGGTGGCTTGCTTTCTGGCTTTCCCTTTCTCTCTCTCGGTCTCTCTAGTCAAATTAAAAAAATAAAAACAGTAACAAATGGAATTAAACAAAGTCTTTTTTTAAAAAAAGCAAATTACTGGGACCAGCAGTTAGCATAATGGCTATGTCGCTGGACTCCCATGTAGTCGACCGTGGTTCGAGTCCCGGACCCGGTGGCTTAAACTCACGCCGGGTGTGTGTGCGTGCGTGCCTAAGATCCCGAGAGGAGAACGGAGGAGAAGGGATTGCAGCGTGGTCATCCCCCCTGGGGGGGGG